GAGAGGTCCAGACAGGGGAAACTGGGCGAAGGGCAGCGGTATCCGCACATGTTCCTCATCTGATGGATAGCCTCACGTCGGGCATGTCCCCTACAATCGACCTTCTGACGAAAAATAAAAAATCGTCTAATCTCCTTTCGGATCGACAAAAATGCTCGGAAAATCGCCCCCTGACTGTCTGTGTACTATTTCTGAAGACTCCTGCTGTAGAGGGGCATGCCCGACTTCGGGACAGCCCGTCGAGGAGCTCCGGCCGCTTCCTGGCGAGCGGCCGGTGCGTGTGGGGGCGGGCGCGGGCCCGGGGGGGAGCGGGCCCGCGCGGTGGAGGGCGGGGCGGGAAGGACGGGCCCCGACCTCCCCGCGCGGGGGCGTCCTCAGCGTCGGCTCGGATCGGAGTTCGACCGACTGCCTTCGGTGGCACCTCGTGGAGAGCCTCCCACACCATCTCGTCGGCTCTCTCTCGAATCGATGCTAGTCGACGCTGAGTCGATGCTCATCGACGCCAGCCGACGCTAAATCTGCGCTATCCCATCGACTCCCAGACGCTGGTCGACGCTGATCGACGCTGAGTGCGGGATCAGCAGGGTGCGCCAGGCTCCCATGATTTGACACCCAGGATGCATACCAGAACACCACAGCCCAACCCGAAAACCCAAAAATCGGATTTTGGGGGGGTGCACGTCGGTCGGAAGAACTGGGCAGAAACAGAGAGCGGGAAGGCGGTGAAAAAGGTTGGGCTTCCACCCGCCCCGTGAAGAGGTGGGAAGAGGGACACCCGCTCGACTCTTGAAGTAGGAAGGCGGCTGAAATAGATTGGGATCTGGGCACCCAGAAATACGTGTACGGATTCCGCATGTGTTTTTTCAATGTTCCCCGACGCCCCCCGCTGGGATGGAGGGCAAATTGGGGCCTTCGGGTTGGGTTGGGGCGTTCTGGTGGGTGATGATCGATGTCGTCGTCGTCGACGATGTCAACATCGTCGACCTGGACCTCGTCGACCTCGTCGTCGTCGTTGCTGTCGTCATCCAAGGGCGGTGCGCCGCCGCGCGCCTCTCGCCCTCTTGATTTCTGAGGGTCGGCTCAGGGGGAAGCATCGACCTTCAGTCGACGATGCGGGGAGACGTTAGGGGTCCGAGGTTGGAGATTTTCTGGCGTGTTCGTGGGATGTCCAGCCTCCAGATGCTTTCCAGAAGCTGCGCTTCGCCGAGGGCGTTCCTGGGGTGCCTGAATCATCCCGCTGCCACGACCAGAAAAACAAGGGGCAACGTTTTGGACGCCCGAAATGGGTACCGAAAAAATCGGTACAATGCCCAGCAGCAAATGTTGTCCCAAACCAACAGCGGCCGCTGTTGGGCAGGCGGCCTCCTGTCTCGAATGAACACAGGCCGCGGCGGCGCAGACAGCGAGTCCTGTTCAAAATGAACAGGAACTGCTGTTGAGCATTGTACCCATTCTTTCCGTGCCCATCTCGTTCGTGCAGAAACGTTAGGGGGGGGGACCCGCTCAGGAGGGGGCGGAACCTCGAGCTCGAACTGGCGAGACGTCACCGACAGATCAGCGATAGGCCCTCGATTGCGAACCCGCACGCTCCTGGGCGGGGTGGGCTGTCGAGCCCCTATCGGCGATCAGTGGGCGACTGGGAGGTCGATGCACTCCCCCCGAAGCCTATCCACCCTCACGTTTTCGGGAGCGGCCAAGAGGGGGGTGTCCAAGAGGGAGGGGTGCAAATCATGACCGGCGGCATGTGCGCGGCCCAGCGGGGGGGCCAGGGACGTGATGAAATAAGAAGAGGCGCCATGAAATCTACGGAAATATCATGGCCCCCGCCATGATATCCACCCCCCCCTAGTCATCACCCCCCTCTTTTCCGCCCCCGAGGTTTCCCCTGGTTTAAGCTCTGGGGGTCGTAACTCTGCTGTCTGGCGGCCGTCCAGGACGATCCAGACACCCCCGGGAACGCTCTCGGCGAGGCGCGGCCGCTAGGAGGCACCACGAGGCTGGAAAACCGACGAGAACCTACGACAACGTCCGAAAACCTCGAACCTCGAAAACCTCGAACACCTCCAACCTCGAACAACTCGAACAACTCGAACCCGACCCCTGCGCCTGCTACGACCAGAACCACGACGGAATGTGTGTTGGCCCCCTCGGGCCTCTCGCCGGGCCCCGGGAGCTCCCCCAAAAAGGCTGGGGCGTCCCCTGACCTTCCAGAGAGCTATTTTTTAGCACTGGAGGCCTAAAAAACCTAAAAAAACTAAACGAAACAGCCTAAAACCAAGACGTAGAATAGCTCTGGGATAGGTTTTTAGGTCGGGTGCTATTTTTTAGCCCTACTGGAAGGTCAGGGTCGGGGAGCCGGCCCCCGGGAAGGGTGCCCGGACCTCCACGGGAGAGCCGCGCCGCGCAGGAGCCACGGCGCGCCGGAGGTCCGTGGAGCACGGCAGGCTCGCGGCGGGACAGCAGCGGCCCCAGGCGGCCCCCGACGTCGCGATAGTTCTGCACGGCGCGCGAGCCCCAGGAGGTCCAGGCCCCTTCCCTGGGGCCCGCCCTTCGTCCCGAGTCGTTGCGCGGCGGCCCCGGGGCCCGGGTGAGGGCCGGCGGAGGCCGAAGATGAGAACGAAACAAACAAAAAAAAAAAAAACATAAAAAAGAACAAATAACAAAAAAAAAAAAAAAAAAAAAAACTGCCGTCATGATTTTGTCATGACCCGAGGGGGTCTGGGGCGTTGGCTTCTGACACCGCGTGGGTCGCTCGGCCTCGAAGGATCGCGGGCCGGCTCCGAGCTGCCGCCGTCGTTCCGCCTTCCACGGCCGCGCTGGGGTCGCCGCCGCGTCGGCTCGGCGCGAACCTGGGCGCAGGCGGTCGACAGCTGCCACAGCCCTCCAATGGGCCCGGGAGGGTTGTACGGCAGGTTCGCGTCGTGTCGAACCCCGTCGTTGGTTCCTGACACCGCAAGGATCATTCAAACTCGAACGATCGGCCGTTCCATTAACGCCAGATCGTTCAACGACGGGCCGATTCTGGGCCACGGGTGGCGTTCAACCTTAAACGCACGCGCTGGTCGCCGCTGGTCGACACGACGCGAACCTGCCGTCCACATGAAAAATCCATGAGTCCGAAGAGCACGATCTCTGTGCGTGACCTGTCCCCCCCTGTCAACGGGAGCATGGGTATAGAGCGTCGGTCGTCGTGGACGCGTTGAAACAGTCCTTCTTGGGCCCCCAGAGACATTCAGGGATCCCCAGCAGCCAGCAGGCCGACGGGCTGGACTGATGGAACAATCCGGGGCACACGTCGCTTCCTGCGTACATTTCGCGGAGAAGACCCCGACCCCACCAGCCCTTTGAACGCAGGTGGTAGTCTTGTTCAGTTTCTTCCTCTTCCCGCTCCCCGCTCCCCTTCTTCTCCTATTCGGCAAGGGTGTTACCCCTCCCCGTACCCCATCCCCTGGGGCCTGCCCCCGCCCAAGATGGCGCAGGATGGCCCAAGACGCTCCAAGCTGGCCTCCAAGATGGCACAAGACAGCCAAAGATAGCTCAAGACAGCATCCAAGATGCTCCGAAAGATGCGCAAACACCGCCCGAGAAAGGCGAGCATACTTCAAAAACCTACGGAAAATCATCGATGATTGCCTTCCCGCTTTTTTGCTTCTGACGGGCCTCTGAGGCTTCAAGATGGCCCCAAGATGGCCTAATGGAGTCCAAGAAGGCCCCAAGACGGCCTGAGAGGCCTCCAAGAGGCGCCCAAGAGCGACCAAGAGCGCCCAAGGATGGCACCAAAAGGCAACTTCACCTCCCCCCCGGCCCCGCCCCCCTAAAGAGCCCAACTCGCCATCGCTCCGACGTCCGTTCCCCGTGCATGTTTCAGCGTCGCGCGTGCATGTTTCGCAAGATGACCCAGGATTCTCCTCGATGGCCCTCGACGAGAAAACATGCACACGTCCGAGCTATGCCAAGGACGCCCCAGAGGGACCCCACCCAAGATAGCGCCAAGAATCCTCCAAGAGGCTCAGATCCGCGAAGGCCTCCTCCTGGTCACCCTTCTCTTCATCTCACATTAGTCCTTCTCCTCCTCCTCCTCCTCCTCCTCCTCCTCCTCCTCCTCCTCCTCCTCCTCCAAATCCTCCTAATGCTCCTCCTCCTACTCCTCTCTCACTCCTCTCCTCCGCTCTTCCTCCTTAATCCTCCTAATCTCCCTAATCTCTAATCCTCCTAATCCTCCTAATCATCCTCCTTCTCCTCCTTCCTCCTCCTCCTCCTCCTCCTCCCTCCTCCTGCATTTCCTCCTCCACCTCCTCCTCCCTACATCCTCCTTCCTCCTCCCTCCCTTCCTCCTCCTCCTCCTCCTCCTCCTCCTCCTCCCCCTCCCCATCCCCCTCACCCTCCCCCTCCCCATCCCCCTCCCCCCTCTCCCCCTCCCCCCTCCCACTCCTCCCCTCCTACTCATCCTCCTCATCCTCCCTCCTCCTCCTCTCCTCTCCTTCCTTATCCTCCTCCTCCTCCTCTCTTCTCCTCCTCTCCTCCTCCTCCTCCTCCGCCTCCGCCTCCGCCTCCGCCTCGCCTCGCCTCCGCCTCCGCCTCCTCGCCTCCGCTCTCCTCCTCTTCATCCTCCTCCTCTTCCTCACTCCTCCTCCTCTCTTCCTCCTCCTCCTCATCATCATCATCTTACTCTTCATCATCCTCCTCTAAGCGCAACTACTCGGCCAGAGGCCTGTGGGCCCGCGCGCGCAGCCAGGCCAGGGGGCCCCTCGCCCCGCCTCCCTCCCTCCCGCCTCGCCCCCCTCCTGCGACACCGGCGCCTCGGCCGCGGCGGCCCAACCACTCCGCCGCCGAGCGCCGCGCCCAGTACCGCGCGCGGACGGGTGGGCGGCGGAGCACCTGCTGGCGGCGTTCGCCGCCATCGACGCCCACCGCGGCCAGCGCCTCAGCGGCCTGGCCCAGGCGCTTCGAATGGCGCTGCAGGGCGCCCCCCCCCTCAGGTGCCGCTGGAGAACCTGGAGATGAAGGAGGTGGAGGTGGTGCGTAGCCGCGGCCAGGAGGCCTCTGGGACCCCGTGGACGACCTTGGCGCCGCGCTCGCGGACTGGAGGTCGCGGGTGGCCTAACTCGAGGCCACGCTGGCGCCGCCGTGCCCCGCGGTGGCGGGCGCGGACGTCGCCGCCCTCGACACCACGATCGAGGAGCTCGGCGCCCTGGCTGCGGCAGACCCGCGCGGCGGGTGCGCTGAGGATGCGGGCTTTGATGGCCGAGGCGGCGCTGGTGGCGCCGTCGCGCTCGACGCCGAGCCCGACGCCGCGGTCCCTCGCCCGCCTCGACGTGTGCCGAGGGCTGCCCGGATGCCCCGCGCCGCGCCCAAGCCGCCCCTGGACACCGAGGCTGCCGCGTCGGCGGCGGCGCTGGCGGTCCACAGGCGCAGGGGCGCGGCCTCGGAGCGGACCGCCGAGGCCAGGAGGAGCCTCTCGCCGCCGCCCTTGGCCGAGCTGGCGGCCATCGGGGCGAAGCTGGCTGCCGCGGAGGCTCCCCTCCGAGGACCTCGAGCTCGTGAGAGTCAGGGTTCGAGGAGCCGCCGCCGCCACGAGGAGGGACAGCGGCCGTCGTGACTCAGCTCAGTCGAGGCCGCTGGCCCGCGGGCGCACGACTGGGCAGGCGGTCCATCGTGGAGCTCGTCGTCGCGGTGCCCGCTGCAGCCAGCACGTTGCTGAGAGCTCCTGGGGAAACCGGGTGAGCACGCCACCTCGGAGGGGCAGTGCCCCGCCTCCCCCACCCTTCAGGAGAGCGCCTGGGGGGCGGCGGGGGGCGCGTGGGGCGCCCCAGCATCTTGTGCTCGACGCCGTGCTCTACGACCTGTTCGTATACGGCCTCGTTTTCGCCTCCTCGCTGAAGGAGCGGATTCGCCCCCGCCTGACCCGCGTGGGCGGCTGGGGGGGTCGGTCGCCTGATCGTCGCTTTCTGGTTTGATCCACTCCACTCCTCCTCCTCCGGAAGCTGCGCATCCGGTGAAGACCGCAGCAGATCGCAGGGAGCATCCGCTGCTCTGCTTCATCATCATCATCATCATCATATCATCATCATCATCATCATCATCATCATCATCTCCTCATCCTCATCCCTCCTCCCCCTCCCTCCCCCTTTCCTCCCCTACGTAATCCTTCCTCATCCTCCTCTCCTCCTCTCCTCCTCCTCCTCCTCCTCCCTCCTCATCCTCTTCCTACATTCTTCTCCGTCCTCCCTTCTCCCTTCATCCTCCCTCCTCCTCCTCCTCCTCCTCCTCCTCCTCCTCCTCCTCCTACCTCCCTCTCTCCTCCTCCTCACTCCTCCTCCTCCTCCTCCTACTACCCTCCTCCTCCTCCCTCCTTCACTACTCCCTTCCATCTCGTCCCTCCTCCTCTCCTCCTCCTCCTCCTCCTCCTTCTCCTCCTCCTCCTCCTCCTCCTCTTTCTCCTCTTCCTGGCAAGGGTCCTCCTCCTGCTACTCCTCCTTCTCCTCCCCGTCGTCCTCTCTCCTTCAGCATCCCCACCCAAGCAACTCCCATGGTCGTCGGTTCTGGCTAGGCTGGCGGGGACATGAGAAGCGTCGGGAATCAGCTGGAGGTGGGCTGCGCGTGGACCAAGGCCTCTGCGAGGTTGTAGCGAATCGAGTGCCCTTGCATCGGGGATGGACAGACCCCCCTTTAGTAAAACGTGGTTTCGTGAAAACGACCCGAGGCCCAAACCTGGCGGGCGCAAGCCTGGAAAATGACGGCCACGGCGCCCTCTCGAGAACCGAAAACGGACAATTCACTAATCGACGTGTCACTGTTGGGGGTTCTGTCCACCCCCGATTGCACTCTTGGCGGCAATTGCGGCCGCACCGCAGCGAGGTGGGGCGTTGGCGTGCCACTGGCCTGCAGATCTGATGCCGTACCCGCGTGGCCCCGACGGTCATCATTACAAGCACCACCATCAACACCATCACCATCACCGTCACCGTCAGCATCGTCATCATCGTCGTCATCAGCATCACCATCATCACCACCAGAATCGGCATAGTCAAGATACGGTACCAAACGGCAATAACCACAGGCACCAGCATCGGCACCATAATCGGTGACCATATCATCATCAGAATCATCCTCCTCATCGTGTTCGTCCTCCTCCCGTACCCTCATCCCTCCCCCACCCTCTCCCTCTTTCTCCACACACCCACCTGCATACTCCCCGATAGTTTTACCCCTCATCACCCTCCTCGCCGCCTCCGAGTCCGCATCATCTTTCCACCCACCCATCCACAAATTACCATCCTCGTCCTCCGCCTCCTCCTTCCTATCATTAGCATCCGTTTCGTCCCTCTCTTCCCCCACCGCCTCCGCATGTACCCCCGCATTCACTCACACCTCTGCCTCATCTTCCCTATCTTCATACGTTTTGCAATTACATGCAATTGCTCCTCGCTCTCCTACCTTCTGATCCTCAGCCCCACCTTCAACCTCACCTCACCCCCCCCCCTCCATCCCCACGCTCCACTTCCTCCTCCTCCTCCTCCTCCTCCTCCTCCTCTTCGACCTCCTCCTCGAGGCCGGGGGATTGTGGAGTCGATGTGGGTTTTAGAGGAAAATTTACGATATTTCACTTTGTTCCTCATCATTCTGCTGATGTTTCCTTTCTCGTTTTCTCTCTCTCTCTCTCTCTCAATATCTCCCACTCCCATTCCCATTCCATTCCCATTCCCAATACCATTACCATTACCATTCCCATCCCAATTCCCATTCCCATTCACATTACCGTTACCATTACCTTTACCTTTATCTTTACCTTTACCTGTACCATTACCATTACCATTACCATTGCCATTACAATTGCCAGTGCCATTACCATTGCCATTACAATTGCCATTATCATTGCCATTGCCATTGCCAGTGCCGTTGCCATTGCCATGGTATTGCCATTGCCAGTAGCCACCCCGTTACCATTACCGTTACTATTACCATTACCATTCCCATTACCATTACCATTCGCCACCACCATTACCATTGCCATTATCATTAGCATTACCAACACAATTGCCATTACCATTACCATTACCGCTGCCATCACCATTACAATTCCCATTCCCATCATCATTGCCATTACCCTTACCGTTACCAGTACCATTTCCATTACCATTGCCATTATCTTTCCCACTACCACTACCATTTCCATTCCCGTTCCCGTTCCAATTACTACTACGATTCCCATTCCCATTCCCATTCCCATTCCCATTCCCATTACCGTTACCATTACCATTACCATGACCATGACCATTACCATTGCCATGGCCATTGCTATTGCCATTGCCGTTGCCGTTGCCATTCCCATTACCATTGCCAATCGCTACCCCGTTACCATTGCCATAACCATTACCATTACCGTTATCGTCACCATTACCATTCCCAGTACCATTACCATTACCACTGTCATTGCCATTACCATTACCATTGCCATTGCCATTGCCATTCGCCACTACCATTTCCATTGCCATTCGCCACTACTATTACCATTACCATTGCCATTGCCATTGCCCTTCGCCACTACCATTACCGTTGCCAGTACCATTACCATTCCGATTAACATTCCCATTCCCAATACCATTACCATTACCATTACCATTACAACTGCCATTGCCATTACCATTGCCATTACCTTTACCTCTACCTTTACATTTACCCTTACCCTTACCATTCCCATTTCCGTTACCACTACCACTGCCATTTCCATGCCCGTTCCCATTCCCATTCCCATTCACATTCCCATTCCCGTTCCCATTCCCATTCACATTACCATTGCCATTACCATGACCATTGCCATTGCCATTGCCATGGCCATTACCATTGCCATTGCCATTTCCATTCCCATTGCCATTGCCATTGCCGTTGCCATTGCCATTACCGTTGCCGTTGTCATTGTCACTGCCATTGCCAGTCGCCACCCCGTTACCACTATCATTACCGTTACCATTACCAGTACCATTACCATTACCTCTGTCATTACAATTACCATTCGCATTGCCATTGCCATTGCCATTAGCCACTACCATTACCATTGCCAGTACCATTACCATTACCATTACCATCATCACTATCATTTCCATTACCATTACCTTTACCTCTACCTTTACCTTTACCCTTACCCTTATCATTCCCATTTCCGTTACCACTATCACTACCATTTCCATTCCCGTTCACGTTCCTATTCCCATTCACCTTCACATTCCCGTTCCCATTCCCATTACCATTGCCATTATCATTACACTTACCATTGCCATTGCCATGGCCATTCTCATTGTCATTGCCATTGCCAATCTCATTGCCATTGTCATTACCATTACCGTTGCCATTGTCATTGCACTTGCCAATCGCTCCCCCCTTACCATTACCATTACCGTTTCCATTACCAGTACCATTACCATTACCTCTGTCATTACCATTACCATTACCATCACCATTGCCATTGCCATTCGTCACTACCATTACCATTGCCAGTACCATTTCCACTCCCATTCCCATTACCGTGAT